ACCGAATTACAAACACCTTTCCATTGTAGAATTGTTTAAAATCATTAATCTTTTCTTGCTATAGAATATTTATTTTTAAAATTTTTATATGAAAATAAATTAAGAAAACTATTTGATATTTCCTACATTTATACATTTTCAAACATAAATATGCAATTGATAATTTGCTTTTTCAAAGTATGAATGGCTAGGAAACTACAATTTTAACACTCCCTTCTTTAGCTTGTGAATTCGTTATTTTGTGCGTGCGATCTCGCAAATTTATTTGGTTGTATTAATTATGTTTCCAAAACATAAGATTTCAAACATTAGTTATTCATTTATAGTTACTGTGCAATGATTTTGATAAAAAAAATCCGAATGTCAAGGTTATTGTAGCTCTTGAGATAAAGCTTTCTTTCGAGGCTTGGTGTAAAATGTGGAGGATGGAGACTCCATAATGGAGTGTCAGAAACTGCAAGGGGTGGAGCTTCTTGAGTCAGATGATGTAAGAGGTGGAGAATCTTGTTGCAATTTTAGTACTTGCTAATTAGAACTGTCATCTCAATTTCTAATTTTCCGTGAGAACTTGTTAGAGTGTCACGTTATCCAAACAGTTAAAAGACAATTCCTCTGAAGTTGACTGAATGGATTTATTTTATCCCGAAACTCAATTTTGTGTAGACCATTTGACAATATCTTATGAAGTATGTTAATGAGAAACAAGAAACCGTGAAACAATTAATGATCTTCACATGTAAGCAAGGGAACAGCTTTGTTCTTGATTTAAAGTCTGGAGATAAGGGAGACTAAATAGAACAGAAACAGCATCAACGTTATCTATAGTGCGTTGTTGTCATTTTCTTTTCTCAAAGAATAAGAAAGGATTGAGAAATAACAACATGAGATTCAGCCCCCCAAAAGTACCTTTAGATATCAAAAACAAAAGGGGACATACATCTTGTGCTTTTGGCTTAAATTTTATTAGATAACAGATGCTGTGTGCAACGGAAACATATTAACTTCGGTGAGATTTGTGTTCCATGCTGCAATCTCACAGCAACACATGAAGTCTTGACATATTTAATTAGGTTTTAGGGTCTTAAACTGAATGAAAGATAAAATAGGCAAATGTTTTGAAATTGACATTAGAGGCTCCACCGCTTGCACTCTGTGACTCTCTATTTTGAAGCCTACATCCTCCAAATTTTAAACCAAGCCTTCTTTCGACCCTTATCTTGAGAGCTATTGGAAAATGACTTGAAACTCTTAACTCCTCTGTCTTACTTTTGCTTCCTCATTGTTCATATTTAACAGAAATAGGTTGCGTATTAGTTGAGCTTATAAAATATTCCCTGTTTATATTTCTAAAGGTTCTAAAGAAAAATGGATTAATACTTATCATTTGTTGTCTTACTCTCTTACTTACATCATACGTTTTATAAAACTTTACAAATTTCAAAGGAGAAGTTTATTCTAGGAGGTGATCTATTGTCTGATCCATATCTATGAATAACTCGATACTACATACAATAATTGCCCTTTCTGAGATGATTTATTGCAACTTTAATCCAAATTCATATCTCAAAGATTAAACTTTCTGTAGCAATTGATTTAGGAATTTTCCCTCTACTCACATTACTGAAGTATGAAGAATGATAAATTTCACATAAGGGTTAATCTTTCTCAGATCATGTGCCATGCTCTTGATACAAGGTCAAAATTGCATGACTAGATACTCGATTTATACAAATATTTCGGTTTCATAATTTTTCTTTGATTTTTATGGGGAAAATTTATTTTACCAAAAAAGTTTTTTTTGCTTTAAAAGATTTGGATAACTACATGTGCAAATAACTGGTTTATTACACATGTACCTAATTTCAAATCGTCCACTAGATGACTTTCAGACTAGATGTCCTTGTGGTGCTCTCCTATTTTCTGTTCTAATTTTAAAATATAGTATATATCTGTCCCCACTGTAGATAAACCTTTTCTGAATATCCTTGGAAACTTTCTGTAGATTTTGCATTTGAAGACGTGGAAGGTGCTTGATTCCACTTGTCATTTGTTTCCAGGAGAAAGTGTTCTTACTGTCTGTTTGGAAGCTACATTAGGTGTCTAACATTGTTAAATGCTTTTTTCTTTGAAAATTCAATCAGAATACCTACTAGCATATTGAAATGAGTTGTCCGCATTTTCAATTAACTGGCCCGTATATAAAATCTGTATAACTGGCCCGTATATGAAACCTTGCGTGAGTCCCTTATAGTTCTATAAACATAGAGGATATTCAATGATTTGTAGTTGAACATGAAATTTATTTCTTGAATGGAACGAGATTTGTTTTTGATATTTTCAGGAGTGCGAAGATTGGGTGAAATTATAAAAAAAAATATCCTGTCTCACGAGTGGTATAAATTCCACATCCAACTTCAAAAAATTGAATTTTCTGTTTTTTGCATTTTCTTTGCTTTTTCTTTTGCCCATATCTTTTGGGAACCCAGTGTTGTAAGCTGTTACTTCATAGTTGATCGGTCATGAGATATTTTAAAATTTTTTTAAATCGAGAATTTTGCCGCACCTTTGATATTTTTCCATTGTGAAAAAAATCACTTTGATATTTTTTCACTGTGAAAAAGCTCACTTTTATGACAGTTTTTTACTGTTGAAATTGCAATTAAGAGTACTATTTGTTCTTTCAGTCTCCAAATTGCCACAGAGGTACAGGTGACATTTCATTTGGTGCCAATCAAGAACGACAAGGGTCATGGTCAAATTAACCGTTAGTTCGAACAGTGTTGTGAACACTACATGCATAGATAAAGAATGAATTGATCATTTCTTTTCAAACTTGCTAGAGAGGTGGTAAATTAACCTGGTCAAAAGTCAAAGATACGCCGAGTTCTTTGTTGATAAGTGTCGTGGGTTATTATTTTGAATATATTTCAGTCTGAAAACAGTGGTAGGTGGCCAGAGAAATACGTCTGTTTATTTGAGGTTAGAAAGTTCTAAAATCAAGTCAATCAAACTAAGTCTTCAGTGTGCTAACGAAATGTAGCGTACCACTGGACTTTTCAGTCTCAAACTTGCAACAGAATGGTAAATGGTAGGGGAAGCAGACCTTATTTAAGGGTATGAAGATCAAAGAGAAAAATAAATAATCATTGTTGTAAACTACATTGTCAACACGATTAAAAGACCACCGCTTGAGCTTAGTTACCGAAATGTTTCGTGATCAGATGAAGAAGCTTGTTGAATCCAATGTCAAAAGGTCAAAGATCAAAGTTAAAGTCAGTAAGAATGTCAGGAGTAAGTATGTTTGGGTTTCCAAGTAGAGCATTGCATTATATTCATTCACTTTCCAGTTTCATACATGCCACAAAGACGCATGGTGCTCAGGAGAAGAAAACTGTTCTTGAACTAAAGGATCAGAGGTCAAGGCCAGTGAATGGGGGGACTGTGAACACCATATCAATTTATGTTGTGTGTGGAAAGCTGTATTTATGTTGCTAAGGGATGTTCGGCTTCGCAGTGAGTCGCTGTTTCTTTATTGATTGTAAAGACTTTCTGAAATCTGATTAGACCATTGTGTTTTCCTCTATAAATCGTCCAGACACTGTGTAAAAATGATACTAAATCACACAAATACTTGAACAAGGAATCAAGATTGAAGATCCTATTCACATTGAATGAAATTCATTTCACTGATTGTTTATTGCCATTGTGTGCTCTTTCCTGACAGATTTTTTTTAAAATTGCCAATTCTTCAACAGCATCTCTTATTCCATGCCATTGTCATTCAATCCCATCGCTTTCAGACATTAGAATTGTAAAATCTACAATAAAAATGCTTAAATACTCATAAAAATTCTTTTCTTCTTCTTCTTCTTTTTTTTTGCCTTTTACTATTTATTCTTGAATAAATGTGGGTTAAATTTTTTTGTAACATCCATATGTAGATAAAAGACATATCAATAATATCATATTGTATATCATAAGACAGAATCATGTATAATTACGAAAAAAAACCCCAACTTTTTTTTCAATTAAAGGCTGAAAAATGTTAATGATGACAAAAACATAGCAAGTCATCTATTGAAGATCAGTTTGGTGTAAAGATAATATATGCTGTGGTGGGACGTCACGCAACATTAATCAATGCATTATCTATGCAAGTCAGAGACCGCTTATTTTTTATATGTACGTTTAGCACGTAGAAAGTATAACATACGGTGAATGTGACCAGTCAACAGGGGATACTTACTCATACTAAGCACCTGAACCCATCTCTAGAATTTCCAGGGGCCCGTGTTTTATGCTCCGTTCACAGATTTGTTTTGTTTGTAGGATTTTTGAGATCTATCACTATTTGTTATCTTCACCTTTTATATAAAGAATGTTATTTGGAAAGTTTATTGTCAATAAATAGACTAATTCTGATGAAGTATTTGACTGTATTATATAATGATTAGGCAACGTGTGTTAACGATAAGACAATATGGATTAATTTTTTTTTGCACGCACTTGATAAGATATCACTGTAAATGTATTGGATATAGGTCAAGGTCACTTACTAAAAATTTAAACTGACAGAGATACGTTTTAGAATAAAAAGTTTATTTTGCGAGGAGACATTTAAGTATCACATTTTTCAGTGAAATTAAATGTGTGTGTGTGTGAGAGAGAGAGAGAGAGAGAGAGAGAGAGAGAGAGAGCGTAAAAGGTACGACAATACCTTTCTTTTAGTATAAATGATTCAAGGGCACTGCCATATCGTAATCTAATAAGCCTTGCCCGTCTGATATGCACGATATAAGGTGATCAGTATTGCCTTCTGCAAACTGGCCGCGGTCATTGGCTGATAGTCTATCATGCTAAAAAAAACTCTGTTGTGTACTAGCTCATGTATCATCCAATGATCAAGTGAAAGAGAGGATGCTTTTAAAATAACGTTTACGCGGCAGAAATTGGGACAGTACTGTGTAGTGCAGTTAAGTTGATTCGGACACACAATAGAACTATTATTCTAACACACATGAGAACCACATAACAGAGCTTAAAAACGATTTCAAGTTTTGGCTGATATGAAGAAAACAATCCAACTTAACAATGGGAAGGAAATGCCAATTATTGGACTTGGTACTTGGCAGGTTTGTTATATTCAGTATTTTTTACGAGAATTTCATGGAGATAGGTACTTCCTCTTTCATATCGTCTATTAAACAGAAGCTAACTTTCGCTTTAAATCAATGAGTTTTTAGAATACTAGTATATTAATTATAATAGCAACAATATCAAGACCAAGGTTGAACAATTCTTTGCAGTTACCGACCCATTATTTCTAGAGTTGGTAGGGAGGTAGGTTTTTTTAAAAAAAAAAAAAATAGTTTTCAAGTTTTTGTTACTTATCAAATCAAAGGATTTTACTTGAAATTTATATTCAGCTTGAAACATTTTAAAGTTGATATTTTGATACATCAGGACAGCCTATAGAACTTCCTAGCTAAACTATAAAACTTTGCAATTACTTTTCAAAGCCAAAACTTCCTGCGTGTGAGCTCTTTTTTTTTTTTTTTTTTAACATTTTCAAAATTATTTCTGAGATCTTATTCACTAACAATTCTTTATATATACTAACAAGTTGGCAGCCCTGACTAAGCTCCATTACAAGATTATCATTATGAATATATGTACAAGTTTTCTTAAGTAGCATTTCGCAGAATGCTTAGATAATGTGTCATAATACGAAGTAATAAGATAATGCTAGTAGTGAAACTCCTTACAATTTTAAGTTCAATTACAAATGTACTGAAAGACTTTAAAAACGCTTAAAATGTTATTTTTATTGTAAAAGTAAACGAAAATTAGGAAACCATTTTATTAAACAAATTTTATTTGAATGTGCATTTCGACAAATTATGTCTCTTCAGTGATGCTCATGTCGAAACGTTGGAAATCCTAAATATTTAAATTAAAAAAAAAACAAACTTTGAAGAGCTGAAAAAGGGGGTGACAAAGACTGGAGCCAAATACGTCGAAGGATCAGAGCTATGCATGAGGGAGATAATCCTTAATTTTGAAATAATTTCTAAATTTAACAAAGCACTTAAATATATCCGTATTTTCAAGCTAGTACCGAAGTACTTAGTTACTGGGCTGTAGAGACCCTCGGGGACTAACGGTCCACCAGCAGAGGCCTCGACCCAGGGGTCATAATGTAAATCTTGTACGGTACCAATTTTGATGCACTAGATGCTCATTTCGACAATGGAAACGTTGAATTTGATGAATTATGTGTTTAATGCAATTAATAAAAGAGCAAGGGCCACTTAGGGCCTTTTTTGGCCCTGTAAATTTCTGAAGAATTAAAACTGCATAGTTTTAGTCGATAAGGCAGTAAATATCACTTGAACACTTTGTGACTGAATTTTTACTAAAAACTAAATGCTAGTCAATGCATTATGACGTCATGAATTGCGTCATTATTCACCTATCACGTATATTTCTTCAAAAATGGCCAAAATATGATGCTGTTTGTCAGTATTTCGTATACAGCACAACCTTCGATCCAAAATGTGCAAATATAATTATTATGAAAGAATTGCTCATTAAGATTATAAAACATACTTTAATTTTTGGATCGAGGGGTGTGCTCACATTTTAATTCTTTGTTGAAGGTTCTAAAATTCACCTGTTTTCTGCAAATTTCAAGAACATTGCAAATTCACAAAACCTGTTTTCCGGTACCCGGACTCTTTAGAGGAAACTTTTATATACAAACTGTAAGCGCAAAGTCTCTATATTAATGTTGAGAAAGGGACATAGTGTGTTAGTGGATAAATTGCTTTATCTACAGGGCCATTTTATGCATAAAGTGAACCTAGCTCTTTGGCTACAGATATTGTACTTTTCACATCAGCATTTCCTCACTATTCATTGACTTGGTCAGTACCGGGTATGTCCACCTTTTGTACCAATACACGCACATGAAAAGGAATTCATGGAAGTGCAGAAAGCACGAACACGTCTCTTTGAAATGTTGTTCCACTCTTTCTGATCATGAAGATCTTGGACCAGCTTCTGTACATCTCTGCATTGCCCTTGACGTTGTCGTAGACGTCTTCAGAATTCATCCCAAATATGTTCCATCGGGTTTAGTGTGTGCAGTAAATGGCATAAGGTTTATCTGGTTGGTATTTAAGAAGTCAAAAGTAATATGCACAGTTTGAGACCCCCTTGCATAATCCTCTGAAACGTTAGAGAATTGCGTAGAATTTGATGAAACGGAATCAGTTCATGCTGCAAAACTTCATCAGTATAAAATCTAGCTGTAAGTGTGCTCCTCATTATGACGAGGGAAGATTTACGTCATGGTTAATTCCACCCCAAACCATTACACAACCACCCCTAAATTAGTCAATCTGCATTATGCACGTTTCACTATACAATGTACTAGTCATTCTGTCTTCTGAAATGTGTCGTCTTTCATCAGCACTGGACTATATGAAGTGTGATTCATCACTGAACATAACATTTCGACAGTTACGTCTTGTTTGAACTATATCTCTTGCGCATTGCAGCCGGTTTGATCGGTGACGTTGAGGAAGATAAGTTCTTTGCATAAACATCGACAAACAATTCCCTGTTCTTTAATGTGACGTCTTATCGTGGTTGGATTGATTGATTATTATTGATTTACGCCGAGTCGGCAATATTTCAGCCATATTTCGGCGGTTATCCTTGTTGGATGCACTGGTCTTCCATAACGCCTATGCACTTTTGACGTCGAAACAGCTGTGCAAGTCTGTTACGTAGCTGACGTTGCCTGATAAAAGTGTCCCAACGTCTCGTTGTTACACATTGTTACACTGGATGTTGCACGGAACCTTCGTACTAACCTCGTAATTGTAGACAAGAGGACGTTGAAGCGATGCGCAACAGCTTCCTGTCTGTATCAAGGAGAATAAGAGTGGCATTCCTCTGGTGTTTCGAGAGCCGTGGCAACACAGAAACACCTTCAATCTGATTTTACTTGCAGAAGAGTTTTGTACTTTTTACGGGCTACTGCCTAAGTCTTTTTACTTTATATTTCTAACCTTTAACAGGTCGGTTACACTACCTTTTATGAAGGACACTTTTCAACATGTGACGATGTTTTCGTCAAACCCATTCTCACATCAATTGAATGAGTCGCAAAGCATGACGGTCTACTACGTGTTTACGATTCAATAGCGACATGTGGCTTTCGTCGGTTTACTGCATGATATTTACTTGGTCACCGGAAAAACCGTACAGCTTCTTTTTTACTTTATAAAGCTGAATTTGAAAGATTATATTCCAAAGACACTGTTCCATGCTAACATTTGATATTTGAGTTGTTTTAGATGAATAATAGTTGCTTCAAATACCGTACAAACGCTTTGACTTTTGCGTGTACATAAAACATTTTGATGATATCGAGGAGTTAAATAATAATTGCGCACCTTGTACTGCTGTCTAAAACTATGTTCATGTATATCACGTGAAAAAACACACTCAGTGCTTTATCGACACAATAGCACCTACGTCTCTTTAAACAATGGTTTACGCCGATGTATTACAACTTAAGTTGATATACACCATTTTCAATACTTTTTTCTTGAATGTCAAAAAAGAATTGAAAATGAGTTTCCAAGGAACAATTCAAGTTGCCCTTTATTTTCAACACAACTGAGTTCGTATTGATACTTGTAGTAGCCCATAATGCACTGCTACTCATTCAACTGTCGCTAAAGTAAACAGATAGTTAATTTACATGCAAATTTATGCTGACTTCAGAAAATCTAGTGGTCTCGACCTGTTTAAATTCCACGAGACACACAAAATGTAAATCGAGCGCGGGCTAGCAGTGAGGTGTCACGGTTGAACAATTTTGATTATCGAGGTCAGAATGATACAGGTATACGGAAAGTCTTCAAATATAATTCATTGATAGCAAGATTCCAATAAAAAATAACAAATTATATGGGAAATCAAAATTTCATATGGGCGTTTTTTTTTGTCCTCAAGTATACTATATAAATATTAGGAAATTTCTCCCCCCAAAGTTTTAACACAATACCTAATAAGCCAATATATATATGTTTAATTTCTAGTAGGAAGTAAATCTATTACCATCTCAGAATCTCTAAAGGACAAGATAAGCTAAGACCCCTTTTTGGTCCCCGGTTCGGGGTGTCTTTTAGAGTGATGCATCAATTTATCAGTTAAAAACCTGTTGTCACCCCTGCCACAAAATGAATATTGGTTTCTAAGTTATGGGATACACAGAGGTCACAGGAAAGGTTGAAAAATATGTCAATTTCCAAATTTTTTGCAGCACATTTTGGTTCAGTAAACATAGAGCACAAGCTTGCCTATCTATCAAATTTATATATTTCATACACTATTATCAGATGCATCTTATGTATTAAAATCTCAGATGGGCAAGCTTGTGCTTTATGTTTCCCGAAGTAAAAAGTATCTTTAATTTCACGAAATTCGATCAGAATTGAGGAAAATCGGGAAAATGTCCTCCTTTTGCACCCTCCTGTGGCCTCCCTGTAAGCCTTGAATCAAAATTAGTGCTGGTTTTAAAACAAGCATCATTTTAAGTTCTTAACTACAAACTATCACAATTTTAAATGTGTTCTGATTTTTACATCAAATAAGGGGCCAGATTCGCCCGTTACCATACCTTGTCCTTTACCTCCCACTTACATCCCGAGAGCCTGGTCCCATCAAAGTCATAAACATCTAGATTTTAATAACTTTAAGAATTTAATTTTTTTTAATTAAAAAAAGTTTGCATTTTCTATCACATGTAATATTTCAGATTACTTTAAAATACAGGATTTTAATTTAAGTATTATACCTTCAGATGTTTTACCAACACTTTCTAGTCGAATATAAATTTTATATTTATATATTTTCAAAGCCACAATAGACAAAAGTAAATTAAAAATGACAATTGCTTCATTTCTAACAGAAGAAAACCTCAAAATTATGTGTTTCCATTTTACATCAAACCTATATAATTACCCATTATCTTTTTTAATGTTGTACAAAAATTAGATGCTTTGAATTTTCAATTTCGCTATACGTTTTACATATGATTTTGTATTTGTTTGTATGCGTTAAGACACGTGAATACTTGTTTATAGAATAAAGACATCTTTGGTATTATCTTGTTATTTCCTATTTTATTTTTCCGTATATAGTATTAATCACATAATCGACATCTATGTTTATAGGAAGACAATAACTATTTCTTTAACTCTTAATGAACAGGCTGTTACAGTGGTCAGTTTCTTTCAATCTACGAACCCATGTGTCATACAGCATGCTGTATTTTTTTTTTTAAATTTCTTTTTCCATGTAATCAGTTTGAAAACCCTGTATACTTTCATTTTCATGAATCTTTACAGTCAAAATTTCCACATCAAAAAGATGTAAGATAGCTATTATTGGATAGCCTTGTCTGATTCCTCTTTTCATTTTACATGTTTTCGAGATCCATCCATTATTCTTTAGTCTAAATATTGGACTCTAATACAAGGTTTTTATCCACTTTAAGAAATTTTGACCAGAAATAAATTTTTCTAGTGTTTAAAATAGGAAATTCCATTTCACTAAGTCAAAGGCTTTTTCAAAATCTTAAAATAATAAAATTTCTTTTTTGTTATAGCTTTCACAATAGTGATGGGAAATCGGAATTTTTTTCATAATCGATTATCGGAATAATCGGATGAACTATAATCGATTAATAATCGATTGATTTCAATATAAAATTTGTTCATTTTTGAATGAAAAATAAATTGGTTAAAAATTCTGGTGTGATTTCTAGAATACATTTTGATATATTTTGTGTCATTGGATTAATTTATTAGATTATTATTTAGGATTTAGTTAAATTCAAAGAAGTATGAATCAAGAAATCATAGAAATAATTTGCTTTTTAGTAATATTTTGAATAATCGATTATCAAAATTATAGTCGATTATCTATAATCGAGGGCCATTTCGATTAGATAATCGATTTAATCGATTAATCGGTACATCACTATTTCACAATAATAAAAATTATCTCGTATAAAGCAGGCATTAATCCCTATAATCAGCCTTTTATATACACTGATTGTTCATATCCTACTTGCTTGTAAATAATCTTCCTATAATCTTTGTGCAAATATGAAGGCTATGATTTTATTGTCTGTGTTAGTACTGTGTTAGTTCTTTTGAAAAATGATTTATATTCATAGCTGTTTCCTTAAATTCAGGTATTGATGGGAAAGCATCACACACGTCTCTTTCCTTATTAGAGAGTTTGTTACATTGCAACCATCTAAATATAGATCAATATCATCGCTCGGCACTAAATTTTGAAGGTTTCGTTTCAAAGTCTGACTATTCAACATTAACATTTGTCTAAAATGTATTTAATTAATATCAATGTTCTTCTCCAGTTTAAAACACTTATATTGTTCAGATCAAAAGTTATTGTTTACTATCACGTATTTCGTGGACTTCCCCTGAATCTTCTTTGAAATGCCTCTAATGCGGCATGGTTAAGATATTATCAGTGTGTTACTTGTACCAGTCCAAATGCTACATAAACTTTCTTAGATCCATTACACAATGTGTTTCTGATTTTTGTCAATGTCAGTATGCGCGCAGTTTAGCTGCTGCCTCCAATTTGTTTTGTTTTGTTTTAAATAAATTCTACTTTACGGACAGTTTACACATTTAATCCCCATCACTATATTACATATTATTTCCATCATGCCTTCAAGAACTTTCTTCTTTAAAAATATTATGCACAGTTTTTATATAATGTTCAAAGGAATACTATAACGTGAACAAACAAGAGTCCTATGGGCCACAACGCTTAAGGACATACGCAACGTACCTTACCTACTGATAATTTTTCAAGATATTCTTAATTTAAGATTATACTGTCATCAGATGTTCGTAGACAAAAAAAATCAGCCTGCATTACCAGAGGTTTTGAAAAGATATCAAATGATGAAAATTCTTGTATAATTCAAAGAAAAATATACAAAAATTACTAAACATATATTCTATATGTTTTGTTTATCCAAACTTGTTTCAGAAGAAGTGTACAACAGCATATATAGACATTAAAATGTAGCAAACAGTTCCTTTAAGTATTGGAACTCTTCAACTCCAGGGAAAAAGACAATAGTTCAATTTACGTTGCGTATGTCCTTAACTGAGGCATTTTGGCCCTGCTGTTTTGCATTAGATTTTTTCCCAATATACATGTATTCCTAGAAAAATTTTGATCATCTTTTGTGGCACCACCCTATACACAGGGGCTGTAATTTGAAATAAATGAAAGTACATTACCAGATGATGCTTCTACATTAATATGATTCATCATGGCTTTGCTGTTTTTGAGAAGGGGAGTTTTAACGATTTTCCCAATATAATCTCTATTGTGACCCTACCTGAGCTTTCAGCTCAGGTGAGATAAAAATGAAAATCTTAAGTTTTCAAGCTATTTTTAATGATGATTTTTTTTTGTTTGAAAGCCAATTTTTCGTAGATTAACAATATCTGTCAAATTTAGAATTTCCAAATTGAAAGCCAAACATAGTACCTTCAACTAGACCCAAATATCCAGAAAATCTGATTAAAGGTTTTTGTTTAATGTAAAAGAGTAACGTTCTCCGTAATCTTATAGTGTACACAATATTCAGACCAAACACAAAACAATAAACATATATTTCCTAATCTATTTCATTCAGAGTCCAAAAGATGATGTAAAGGCAGCCTTGTGGGCTGCATTGGATGCTGGGTACAGACATATTGACACGGCCTACAATTACATGAATGAGGATGCAATTGGAGAGGCTCTACAAGAATATATCAAAAGTGGAAAAGTGAAAAGAGAGGAATTGTTTATTGTTACTAAGGCAACTATAACTTAATCATATTCTAGTACTGTAAACGTGGATATTAATGTGCGGAATTTACACGAATTAGTAGTAAAAAATATACGCTTAGAGTAAATTTCTGCGAGTTCGAAGTTAGTGTAATAATAATACTGAACAGAAATATATATAAGTATTGGTACGCTGGAGATTATTTACAGGAAAATTTTTCAATCGAGTATTCATGAAAATTTTTCCCAGGGTAAATTACCACGTATACAGTATTTGGTAGATGGAGTTAGAGAGCAAGGATATAAGGTTTATTTGCTTGACCATTCTTAAATTTGGGAATTCAATCGAGATTTGTTCTGTCCTGGTGACTTTTAACAGATTTGTTACTTTAATTAAGAATTGCATATTCATGTCTCTCAATTGTATAAATCGATCTCCGAATAACATTATCTCAAGAATCAATATTTAAAGAAAATGCTATGTTGAAAGATACAAGAATATTCAATGCAATGCACTTTAGAAAAATAAAAAGGAATATTTGTTACATTTGTTTCATGTTGCCGCTACAAAAACAAAGGTCTTGTTTTTATTCAGCTTCCGATGATTCACATGGACCCAAAGTTGGTGAAGAGATCCCTTAAGTTGAGTCTGAAGAATCTACAGTTATCATATGTAGATCTGTACCTCATTCACTTCCCTATACCTCTAGAAGTAAGGAATCTGTATTTATCTTGTAAATTGAACATACATTTTTGATTTACTTGTTATTTATAATTTATTTGAAACTTACATAGAAATAATAAAAAAAAAAGAATCACTATATGAAAACCACCAGAAAAAGGGGTCTATAAACTTGAATAAAATTCGATTTTTAAAGAGGTTCCCTCCTGAGCTTTTGAGCAGATTTTTGTCTTGACCTATATTTAAAAAATTCTGCATAATGTTTTAGTTCTTACAATAAATTTGGATTCTACAATGCCAATGAAACTCTATTCAGTTAAAACCCCATGATTAAATTCCGTACCAAAAGCATTAAGTGAGAAACTATATTTTTTGGCGGAAGGTTTTTTTTAAAGAAGAAAATGATCATTTTTCTCATTTGAAGTATTTAAAGTATTGTTAAGTTTGGATTCCTAATTTTCCATGCAGCTTGCACACAGAGTTATTTTGTGCCGTGAACTGTTTTATGCTGGTTCTTAATTATATGTTAAATAAACTATCATGAATTCTATCATCATATTTGACAAATATAGCAAAGATATTGTGAAAATGCAGAAAAAAAATAGCCCCAATTTAAGCTTAAAATTAACACCATTTTTAGTAATATCTAAAAATTAACATCACAGACCCCCACTTTTAATTTCCTTTTCTGAATATATTAGATACTTTTAACCATTCTTCTTAAATTCAGTAAAATGTCATTACTTTCAAACGATTTTTTGCTTCTTAAATATTTTAATGCCAGAAAATGACATTTTTTGAGTGCAGAAAGGTCAAATAATTGACCTTGCGAAGTAATTTGAAACTTTTTTGTTGTCACAAATTTTAATGTGTCTATTCAACATGAAATAAGATTCCCATAGTTTATTTGAATAAAAAAATATTGGTGGAAAAACTTTAAAAAATAATTTATGTGTTAGATGTAATTACAGTACAAAAAGCTCATACTAAATGCTCCATAGCGACAAAAGAAGCGCATTGACCGCCCAGTTTTTGATTTGATGTTTAATTAAGCTATGTGTGTAGATTCTAAAAATATACTTGATAAAAAATTCTCATTACTTTTGAAAGCAGGATCCAACCTCCTTAAATCAATTTTGAAATAAAACCAGTTTAAAGCGGTTATATCTCTTTGGATATTTTTTTTTAAAAATTAAAATCAAATTTGGTCTTGATTGTCAAAAGAGGACAAACCAATAATATTGGAAGACAGAGAGTTTATTTACGGTTAAATAAAAAAAAAAAGGCCAGACTCGGCAGATGTTTGCAGTGTCCAAACGATCTTTTTATACTATGGGGAATAAATCATAACTCTTAATATAAGTAAATTACATATAAGGACTTTAATGTACGTATTGAATGTTCGTTTATTTTCAGTACAATGGTGACGACACCAAAATAATACCCTTAAACGAGGCCGGAATCTGGAAGGGAGCAGACAAGTGGGATCTGCTGGGAACGTGGAAGGTACAGTGAAAAAGGGTTATAGCGCCAGGGTCGGTCTTATCTATAATTTGTTTATAAAAGAGCCAAATATGTTTTGTTTGGTTCTGGGTAAACTATATGACTGCCCTCACGAGAAAAGGGCCCTTATCATACGACGTCACAATGCTCAGAAAACGACGTCAAAGTAGCGGTATTGTAAACACGGAAAATGTTAGACTATTCAAATTTACCAAAAATTTGTGAAATTTTGACCTTAAGGGCCCTTTTCTCGTGACGACAGTCATATGATTTCTTGATTTTCATTACTCTCTATTTCCTTGCGTCAAGAACGTATCGATCCGCCTGACGTTACATTTAAATTTTGTACAATTTGAAATCATTTTTTTAGGGCAATTATCTTTTTCCTACACTAAATGAATGAAAATTAAATTATAAGGAATGAAATTAATAGCTACCCAATTTATACAGTATAAAGTGGGTTGGAACAGTTTACGCTTTTTTATAAACCGCTACGCGGTTTATAAAGCGTAAACTGCCACAACCCACTTTATACCATATAAATTGGGTAGCTATTAAATTCATTCCTTAAATAATATAATGTACTCCATCAAGATACATGTGAATCATGGCTTGTCTTACATTTAATGTTCTGTTGAAATAAGTCTTTGTAGTGTTTGGTTTATAGGCAATGGAGGAACTTGTAGACCTGGGGTTGACTAAATCTATCGGAGTTTCTAACTTTAGTATCTCACAAGTTGAAAGAATCTGCAGGATGGCCAAGCACAAACCTGTTACAAACCAAGTGAGAAAGACTTTTCTTTTCAGCTATTTCCTATAAAAACACCTTTAATGATGGTTAACTAAGCAAAAATTGAAGTTATAACGATGGCTTGGCCTACAATTAAAAACAATACACTTATCACCGCGAAATATCACAGCTGTGTATTTCAATTTTGAATTTTTTTTTGTTTTCAGGTGGAATGTCACATATATCTCCCACAGACAGATTTGTTCGAGGCTAGTAAGAAGCACGGAGTAACAATTACAGCGTATGGTCCATTCGGGTCGCCAGGAAGGCCTGCGTCTATGTTAGTATCCCAGATAAGTGAGCAATGAATTCTTTAGAAATGTTTTCTGAATTATGGATCAAATACGTTTAAAGTATTCTATTAAGAATAACTAAATGAACTTAATACATTTTCCAAGTAGCAGTAAAGCCAGAAAATATCGTGTAATTTAAACTGGCGGATTTACAGGCACACCCAGAGCTTGGCAAATCCCTTCCCCATATAAGGCTTAACAATTACTACTCTCTCTCTCTCTCTCTCTCTCTGTAATTAAGTAAGAATTGACCTTTGTTTAGTAGCAAGGACAGGTCAAGATCATCATGTTTATCTACGACATTAAGGATTAAAAATTACTGTTACTTATCATGTTATGCCCACTATTAATTGTTCATTTTTATGTTCCATTGATTGCCTAATTACCTTGCCGAGTTGACGAAGCTTGTTTTTTGACCAGACAGGCAGAACCAGTAACACAGTGTTGAATTGAAAAAAAATGTCATTTAATCAAAAATGACGAATATAAAACAGTTTTTTTTTGCATAAGAAGACAATACCACATACAGTGTATTAGATAACACTGTTTGTTAACGCGAATTTCTTCTTATTTAAAAAAAAGAAGGAATATTCATTATTCTTCTATGATTCTTAAATTTAAATTTTTCTTATTTTCACATTTGGAGGAGACTTGAGATACCTACACAAGATGAAAAAAAAATGTTTACCTAATATAAGAGAGAAAAATAGTTTTAAGTGAATTTTTCAGTCAAAATTGTTTATAGATTGAAGGTTTACAAAAGCTAGCAAGATTGTAGTTTTATAGAAAATATTACTGATTTAATATTTATGCATTCTATAACTCAAGTCTCTAAATATAAATTTCATTCATTATTTAAAACTGTGAACTAAGTTCATTAATCTGTAGTAAATTTGAAAAACGAAAATAGTGACATTTTCCTACGTTACTGTTACGCAGAAAATATTAATAGTTCCTGTTAGATTTTAAACTTTATGTTCCATATCTTTGTCAAGTTGTAGAGCTGTAGGAAGGAAAGCAAAATAAGATTTTATAAATTGTTGACATCTCAATATAAAGGGAATTTATGCTCATATATTTCAATATTTTAATTAGCATAAACCTGAATAGATCCCTCCTTAAAGGAATATCGTAATTGTTGATTGTTTTTTAACCTTTCGCATTGAGTTTTTGTTACAAAGGAATATTATTCTTCCTTTCGATCTTCATATATATGCAGAACATTACAAAAACCCAAATTATTAAAACATCTTTTTTAATAATGAAGGTTTATAATTTTTTGTGCATCCTGCATATATTGCAAAGTCAATTGTATTGATTTTGAAATCTTTTAAAGAGAAAATGTCCTTAAAAAGAAAAAAAATCTTAATTCGAAAATTTGAATGCATCATTTAGGCCTTCATAGAGACCTAGAAAACTAAATTACTTGTTTCATTTATAGTAAACAAGCAGACGAACCTGTTGTCTTAGAAGATCCTGTCATCCTGAAATTAGCCAAAAAATATGGGAAAACTCCAGCGCAGGTACGTTTCCAAAAACAAGCGGAAAAAAGAAAATTATACAGAAAACAGTAATTTAAACAACATCAAAGATTGTAAAGTTATAGCTATAGGTGCAATAAAATTTAAAACATAGTACACTTAGAATATTTTTGACAATTTTATGATTTATTTTCAAAGCAGTTAGACATTTTTTCAGTGGATATTGAACAAGAGTAATACATTTGCAAAAGTTGGCTTTGATAAAGACATATTTTAGTTTACTTAGGAATGCTTACTTTCATGTATTAGTTTGGCTAAATACGACAATATTGTTCTCGCCTAGAGATTTTAAGAAGATTTTTTCGAGTACATTTCTGAATATTACTTCGAAGCTCTTTTGAAGATCCATTTTTGTCTAAAAAGCAGATTTTTTATTCTAATAAATTTGAACATATATTAGATTTATATCGATAAAATATATTGATAAACCCATGTTTAGAAAGATTTTTTTAAAGTTACTGTATATCATTTGGTGAGTTAGCAATATTCCTGTTCCCCGAGGCCAGGATTATATTCTTCGCCTTAGGAAATAGTCCTGGGCTTGGGAAAATTGATTTTTTATGACTTCCTCAATTATATACTTTTCAACTGTTTTATTATACCGATACAAATTTGGTAAATTTACTAAAACAAGGCAAAATGGCGATAAGTCCATTCATAGCGATCTCTAACTTCTAACGATCTAATTTTATATAGGGAAAAATCAGTAGAGGTATTATTAGTTACATAGTTTTTTAGTGACAGGGTACGGGATGATACCTGGTTAGTAAATTTCATACCTGGCGAGGCGAAGCCGAGCCAGGTATGAAATTTACTAACCAGGTATCATCCCGTACCCTGTCACTAAAAAACTATGTAACGAATTTACCCCACCGATGAAATGTTAGTGGTCTGTGGTTTGTAAAATTTTTTTTTCACTATATATATGTTTCATCACTCATACAATGCCTATTATGACGTCACGTTGTGTGACGTAATGTTGTTTTGCGAGTGTTTCGTGCTGTAATAACGTACTGAGTTTTGAAGACTTTCAGTAAAGGGAGAAAAAGGTTCCATCTTCGTTACTTACATTAGTTAACTGTAACATTGTCAACAGACACTCGGCAAATCGCGTGAACTCTAGTTGTTCGAACGTTACAATAGAACGATAACTCCACATCGACCATGTATTGATTTTCAAGCGACTAGGTATAAGTAATACACCCCCTTCACGTGACAGACTTCAACCAATCGTAAGCCAGGATTTCATCGAAAAATCAACAGAGGTGGGGTAAAATAATATTTCTTATTTTTTCCAATGTTATATTTTACATTGCAAGTTGACCAAGATTTATAAAATGCAGAGGTAAACATCTGCTAAAAATTAAAGTCTTAAGAAGACACTAAAAATGAAGTCATTTATATATCTAAAATATTTTAAAAAGCTCATCACATTTTTAAAACGTTGTCAATGAAAAAACGCAGATGATTTACTGCTTTAATAACTTTAAAAAATTGTTGTATGTGTTTCCTACAGGTTATTCTTCGAAATCTCATACAAAGAGGTATGGCTGTAGTTCCAAAGAGTGCGTCTCCAGAAAGAATACGTAGCAATTTCCAGGTAAACAATACACATTTATTTGAAATATTACAAAAATTTCAGGTTCAGAAAGTTTCTTTAAGATTCAAGACCAAATATTGTTTTTTAAAGAACGTTATTGAGAGGTGAACAAGATAACCAATCATATGATTTGTAAATGAGACAAAAGAAAGGCATTTATATATAGGAATTATTACGTTATCATATCTTAGAACTGTAATTTTTATCTTTTTTTTTTGAAAAATATAAACAAAAAGGCATGATGAGATGCCTCAATTCTTATATATGCTTTCAAAAGCATGAGACAAAAAGCTCCTCATCATGACAATTGTTTTAAGGGGCATTTTAAGTAAGGATCGCGTGTTCATAATAAGTACATTCTATTAAAATAAAAAAGGGTATATTTTCATCCCAGGTTTTTGATTTTGCTCTATCGGAAGAGGACATGGAAGAAATTGATAAGATAAAAACTAGACGCCGCTACTTCGATAATATGGGTGCTATGTAAGTGCATATTTCTTGCTCCTTGTCCTTTTCCACACAATTGTCTGATTTTTGTCAACAGCTTAGCATTTTACAAGTGATTCTGTCTAAAGAGTAATGAACCTTATTTTCTGCGCCTGTGTACATTATTGTATTTCAATTTCAAAGAGATAATGAATCAATCAACAATAATGATAAAAGATACCACAGTGATTGCATCTATAACTAATAGTAAAATGTTTTTGAGACCCATTTTAAATTCGTTGAAACATACATTCATAAATGATGAAAGAATTGCGACAACTTGATCTTTTACTTACAATTGCCTTTATTGATTTATTGGTATTGGCTGAAATAAAAGAAAAAAAAGTTTTATATTATAATTAAAGACAGTTAATTAGCACACCTATTAGATATTTTCCACATTAGCAATAAATGAACCTACGAAAGTTAATATCTACTACAATATGAAACATATCATCTTTATGTTATGGCAAAACACTTTCGATTACATGTGTATGTTTTTAAAATGAATCGGATATGTTTCCACTGGAATAAATTTTTACTTTTTTGTTACAATTCTTTATCATATTTAAATCTTGTGTTTTTTTATTACAGTTTTTCATCATATTTAAATCTTGTTTATTTTTTTTTTTTAGGTTTAAGGGTCACCCAGAATGTCCATGGTGAAGTTGAAAAAAAAAATTAAAAAGTTGTAGAATGTCATTGAGAAATATCTCTGTCTAACATTCTTCAAGGTCCTTTTTAGACACATTGTAAGATAAAGAAAATTGATGTAATATTTTCATCCGCTAAATAAATTAAGGAGGTAGATTAAGGTTTTATTGAACAAATAGAAAATTCATGCAATAAAAGACAACTGCATGTCAGGTCTATTGCTAAATGGCGTCTAGTTATTCTTTTCAATTCTTAAAATCTACACTTGAGTTAAACACCAAATAAAGGATAGTACAGTACAGAAAATACGTCGAGGACACAATTTTGTTCTTCGAAAAATCATAAAAAAGGATACCACTTTGAGTACAGGAATATGTTACATGTATATAATATTATATTGCTTTGTACATTTATACAAGATCCATTTTTCTTCAGAACTAAAAATACCTCTGTACATCCATATTTATCATTTATAATAAGATATTATCTTTCTTGTGTTGTATGTAAATTTATGAAGTAAGGCAATATAAAAATATGTACAATAAAACGAGATAAAAAGTAAAGTGTTGAAAGTGATAGAAACCAAGGAAAATGGTGTGATTTTTTTCAGAAGTTGAGAATCCAGCCATATACCTGACTATGATCGATTGCAAAGCAAGTCTAAGACCAACTTTATATATTAAAATTTTCAACTGAAATTAAACTGCATGGAGTTTAAACAACAAACCTTTCAAACATAGTGCACAATTGCATCACTATTTTTTAAATCATTCTTTCACGGAGACATTCTCGGACTGTACATGAGACTGTTTCAGATGTAATTTGATTATGTGTAAAATGTCTCTAGACTATTTTATTCCTTATAATGCTATTTACATGTGAGTTCAAGGCATGGGCGTTCCTATGGAAATGAGGGGATTAAAACGGAAATCACCATGATACTTACCATGTAAGTAATTTTAGTAGTTAAATCATACCTGTATTTCATACTTAATATTAACAGTATATGTCGAGCTTTTTTGTATCAAGAAACAACAAATACTGTATAATGTACTATTTCTATGTTCTTTTTTTTAAATTTACTTTTTATTTTTTTTAAAATATATATACCAATAATATATTCCAGCGCAAATACACTAGCTTAAAAGTATGTGTTCCTGTTGCTGTTAATCATACCTGTGTAACCGAGCGCCTCTTGGAGGACCAGTATTGACGAAAGTTTAAAAGTTTTTTAAAATAGATTGTAGATTCATCAATCATAGTACATGTATATATTTACCGGCATATATGAATGAATTGTCCGCATTTCTGAATAATTGGCCCATATACACACCCTTGTGTGTCCCTAACCGTTCCGGGACACGGTGTACAGGTACACTTTGATATTTCAATTATATTGTCAATTAACAATGGTTATTTCCATACTTATGTCGATACGATATATCCCGGTGAGCCTGAGATAAAAGATACCACAGAGTTTGACACATCTGTTTCATTTTTGGATATTTTACTTGAAAAAGACGTTAATGGTAATCTAACAACCAAGCTTTATGATAAACATGATGACTTTAACTTTTCAATCGTCAGCTTCCCTTACTTATGCAGCAATATACTTTCATCATCGGGATACGGGGTTTATATCTCTCAGTTGATTCGATACGCAAGAGCATGCTCTACGTATGTACAATTTCTATAACGAGGTAAATTATTGACAAACAAGTTGATGAAACAAGAATATCAGCAGTCTCTTTTAAAGTCATAATTTCCTAAGTTTTATGGTCGATACGATGACCTTGTCAGCAAATACAATTTATCAATGAGTCAAATGCTGACTGACGTTTTTCATACAAATTGTTAGGCCATTATTTACACACTGAATTGTCGACGGATTTTCCCGTCATTTCCCGATCATGACAAGGAGCACACGGCGGGTGTGACCGGTCGGCAGGGGATGCTCACTCCTCCATGGCACCTTATCCCACCTCTGATGTTTTAGAGGTGCGTGTTTGCTCTGCTCCTATTTTGTAATGTTTAATGGACTTTTGAGATTGAATACTGTTCGTTATCTCCATATTCTTCATTCAGTCTCAAAATTGTCAAAAATGTGGTGAAATGGTAAACAGTTCTATTCATCTGGGACACTTACCGTTAGTCCGTAACAATGTTATGGATACTATATTTAAGGTATTCATTGATCTTAATAAAGAAGTAGTAATTGACCAGAAAAATGTGTCCTTTAAATTGAGGGTCAAAAGTCATGTTTAGAGATATTCTTAACCCTTCTTGTTTATTTGTTGCGGATTTTCAGTCTGAAACTGCCGAAGAAGTCTATTTATTTTTAAGGAGAAAGGTCAAAATGCATGTCAAATAAAATAAATCTTTAAGAATGTATTAGTGAAAGTAATAGTACCAATTGACTCTTTTAGTTTCAAAATTGCCACAAAAATGGTAAATGGCAGGAAAAGCGGACTTCCCCATTTAAGGGCTTGAAGGTCAAAGAATCTGTTAGTTGATTATTGTGAACAGGGTTTTTTGAGAACTGTTGAGCTTTGCGTCTCATCCTTGTAACATAGATGCTTGATGGTCAGAGGAAGAAGCATACTGAATCCATGGTCAAAAGGTCGAAGGTCAAGGTTACAGTCAGTAATAGTTTCAAGAGTTATCAGGTTATGGTCACAATTAAAAGAGTACAATGATTTGATATTCCCCAGTTTCATACAAGCCACAGAGTTGCATGGCGCTCATTCATGGTATCTATTGATTCTAGGACTTTAGAGTCAAAGGTCAAGGACTATGAATAGTATGTATAATGATGTGAACACTAAATTTAATCCAATTCAATTCATTGTGGGAGAAAATGCATTCCTACTGCTAGGGGATGCTCGGCTTTGCAGTTACCAGCTGTTTCTTAATTGTTGGTATAGACTGCATGAAATTTAATTAATAAAGTTATGTTTTCCTCTATATCTCATCCATACATGTACACTATGTGAAAATGGCATTCATTCACAAAACAGCAAGTAAGTTGATATAAAGGTAAAATGCTTCTGATAAAACGCTAAGCAGCATAAATCAATGCACTGATTATGCAGATCTAAGTCACTATATCTATATGTACAATAATTAGAAAGTATACCTTATTTGTATGGATAGAATGTTATTTTGAATGTTTTTATTCTGCCGATAAATACGACTGGTTCTGGAGAAACATCTATCATTTTACAAGTTTATAATCTTTAATTATAAAAAGTAACTTTCGTCTAGGTTAAAGAAAAACAATTGTTTGTGATAGCAGTTGTAGTCCCTTTTTGAAATAAATATCCAGAAATAGCGGATCTTCTTATTACTTGATGATGCAAAAATACAAAGTTATGCTAAAAATGTCAGGAGTGCAACGCCTTTTTCTGACAGTTTGAAAATTCAATATTTTTTGAAGGTATGTGAAATAAGTAATAATGGTCTATGTTGGAAATAAAGACTTTCCTGATAATATTCAATGTTTTGAGCTTTAAATATAGACTGTAACAATTTTTGTTTGATCAAGTTGTGGTCATGGCTGATGTTGAAAATAATGTTATACCATGTCACGAGTGCAACAGAAAAATGTAATGTTGCCAAAAATAAATAAATACATGTAAATAAATAAATAAATAAATAAATAAACAAATAAATAAATAATAATAATAATAATAAAAACCATCGATTTTAAAAATCTGAAAGACAATTAAGTCAAAAAAGAATTTTCAAAGTGTAAAACAATGACTGATACTTAAAAATGTTATATAAATCACAAGTAGCATTAATGAGAGTCAAGTTTCTGTGCATACCCAATAATGTCAGGAGTGCAGCATGAAAAACAGTATATGATTTTTATTTTGGAAAACAAAGACACAAAGAACATTTTTACGAAAAAGATTTATCAATTAGAGGGTCTGTCTGTGTTTCAGATCAATATTTCTATGGTCAGGAGTGCAACATTTTTTAAAAAGATTCAGGTTTTATGATGAAAAGACTTCTATTCATGCTAAAAAATATTCTTTAATTAATAATGATCTATTTGAATAATTAAGTACTAAATTAGCGACAGTTTTATTAGTAGAAACCTTCTCTTTTTCAATGTTATCAATTTAGGTATGTTTTTATCTTTTCTTTGATTTTTTTATGAATGTAAAAAATAAACACACTGAAAAATTTCCACCTCATTTTCACTGAAAAAAAAACAGAACAAGTTCTGATGTAATTTTCTATTCACAATTCTACTTCAAAGACTGCCATGTTTTTGGTCAGGAGTGCCTCAACTATGTTAGAATTATTGCTGATCAAATATGAATAAATATAAAGATAAAAATGATGAGTAGAATGTTTCTGGTTGACCTCAGTTGCTAACGGTGTTTGTCCTGTGAAGGAAAACATACTATAAAATACATCTTATCTACTAAATATATGTATTAGTTAGTTTTTTTTGACATAAATTGGGAATAACTCAAGATATAAAGCCAAGTTTAAATATTGTCCTGCATTTTAATTATGAAGTATTGGACTATAAATATTGCACAAATTCGTTACCATTTCATGTTGCCATCACTTTAGGAGTGATTTTGTGTTCTATGGTTTTAATTTTTAATTTTACTGCAGTCAGGAGTGCAACAAAACTGTTTTATAATTATCAACGAACTTCATCTATCTTTGCTAAAAAATAAACTAAATGTTTGATACTATTTGATGTTCAAAACATTATGTCTATCAACTAATTTCAGATATTTTACAGTCAATTCATAGAAGAGTTTTCGTTACTAAACACATATTTTAATGTTTGTTTTTATTGTTTAACGTCCCTCTCGAGAATTCTTCACTCATATGGAGACGCCACCACTTGCCGGTTGAGAGCTACAAATTTTGACCTACACTCGGCACTCAGCGCCATTGAGCAGTGAGGGATCTTTTTCGTGCTAGCGCCTACTGCGACACGGGACCTCGGTTTATACGGTCTCATCCAAAGGGTCGGTCTCCTTACGTCCCACAGTGGGATTCGAACCCGCGACGTAAGGATCAACTCCTTACTCCGCGACTCTAG